TGTGTACAGCTGGCATTCTAAGAACAGCTTATTCAGCATTTAGTTGCTCTGAAGGAGTGGCTTGGGCTCCTGCCATTCAGTCCTGCCTGTCACTGAGGTCAAAAATAGCATTGTGGCTTTTAACCACAGAGCATTCAGAAGTGAGCGCTCTCTTTGTGCTCACCCACGAGTACAGAAGGTAATTCTCACACCTGCAGGAGATTCTCCAGGCTGGCAAAAAACCCTGAGAAATGCTGTCAACATAGCTGTGAATCAGCTGACCTCCAAAACTACTGCTATTAACCCCAGATGCTTGTAACTGAGACACTCACCTTCACCTTCACTTTCCCTGACCAGTTTGGCTAAGAAGCCTCCAGACAATTCCTAAAATAAAAGCTGGTTAACAAGATAGGAAATTCTTGCAGGCTAAAGGCAGAAATACCCTCCAAAGTGAATCGCTGGAAAGTTACTTTAAAATATTGCCATGATGAAGGGATAAAAATGCAAACATTCTGAGGAAAAGCCATGGCATTGTACAAGAGGGCTTTCATGGGACTGACTTGAAAAGTCAGAGTTGGATTCTGCCTCCTGCCTGCTGCTACCCCAAATAATCCTTGATTACCTTTTGTCACTCACTGATCATAGAATCATGGAATGGTTTGGATTGGAATAGACTTTATCTAATTCCAACCCGTCTGCCACGGGCAGGGACACCTTCCACTATCCCAGGTTGCTCAGACCCCCATCCAACCTGGCATTGGACACTGCCAGGGCTGGGGCAGCCACAGCTGCTCTGGGCACCCTGAGCCAGGGCCTCAGCAACTCCCTGAGTATTTTTCTTAACATCTGCTTTAAATCTTTTCTATTTTAGTTAAAAACTGTTCACTTTTGTCCTGTCATTATCTGCTCATGTAAAAAGTCTCTCTCCCTCTTTTTTTACAAGGTCCCTTCAGGCACTGCAAGGCCACAGTGAGGGCACCCCAAAGCCTTCTCCTCTCCAGGCTGCACAATCCCAATTCCCTCAGCCTTTCCTCCCAGCAGAGCTGCTCCATCCCTCTGATCCCCTTGGTGTCCCTGCTCTGGCCTGGCTCCAGCAGCTCCCTGTCCTTGCTGTGCTGGGCCCAGGGCTGGATGCAGCCCTGCAGGGGGGCTCAGCAGAGAGGGGC